AGAACCAAATGAAGATAGAAAATGGAGTTTGGTTTTTCCCCTTCGTTTTCAACACTTGCCAATTATAAACCAATTTAATTTCTCCAGAGAAGAGAAGACGGATGAAAAAAGTTTCACATGAACATAATGGGGAGGGAGAATCACAGAAACACATAGGTTTGGCGTTTGCGTTAGGGTGGGGGGATTGGGGGGTGGGGGACCAGTGGCAGTGCCCCTAAAAGTCGAAAGTCCGAAACAGCAATTTAGAAGATGTGAACCCTTAACCACCACCCACTCTCTGACTTTATTTATACGATGTGAATGCTTTGCTTAATGCCAAAATAAATAAAAAAAGATTCAATTTGCAATGAGCGATTCTTGAGTTGAAATTAAACTTGGAATATTTGTGTTGTGTTTGGGCTGGCCATGTCTGTTTGTATCCGGTGGTTTCAGCATATCCACATGATTATCATTATCTTCAATTGGAATAATTATCAATCAATCACTCAAATTATTCAACATACAAAATTTCTTAGGATGCGCCGTCCTTCCACGTGGCTTTGTTTGTTCCTCTCCCTCTCTCCACGGCTCCCTCCCTCATCATCTCTCTCTCCTGAATTAACAATGGCCAAAGTGCAGGAATTGTCTAAGTGGGCCATTTCTTGATATCCATTTTCTTATTGGGCTTAAAAGAGTGTTTTATCTATCACAGTCCAATTCAGCCCACCTTCCCTCACGACTCTACCCACCACCAACCCTCTTGAGCTAACTTTGTTTTCTTGGACTAGTTGTCAAAGTGTCTTCTCGCCCACCAAACTGAAAAGTGGTTGAATAGAGCTGTGAATTTTGGAAAATGGGTGTGGCGGCGAAAATAGCACCGTCGATGCTGTCGTCGGACTTCGCCAATTTGGCATCGGAGGCCGAGCGCATGCTCAAATTTGGCGCCGATTGGCTCCACATGGACATCATGGTACCCCCTCGAAATTCATCAGCTTTTTTGTTTGATGAAGTTCAATGTTTTTTTTTCTTTTCACTAAAACTTGCGTATTTCTCGTCTCTTTGTGCAGGATGGGTAGGTTTGATTAGCTTTTGCTCATTTACTAGTTTCCATGTCTCTCAAGTGACTGCTATCCAATTCGGTTTGATCATTCCACATCTTTAAATTTTGACACAATGAAGTGTTTGATTCTGGATTTGGGATGTGGGGGGAAGGGGAAGAAGAAGAACATGAAGTTGTGATAGTACTGGAACTGTATGGGATGATAATTCCATTAGTAGGATTGAATCAGTGTGTGATTTTGTTCGTATTCAATTCGGCATGTTCATAATCTAATTGTGCCATTAAAGTTGCTCATTTTTTGGTTATGAAAGATTTGTTATGTGCTTACTAAGACAAAGTAAAGTGCTTTTATGTTTTCTACACATCACACCGTTACTTCTTACAATTGTAAATAGTGGGGGTGGTCTTATTGTTCATCCGTTCTTTTCTTAATAGGCACTTTGTCCCAAACTTGACACTTGGTGCACCCGTAATTCAGAGTTTGAGAAAGCACACAGAGTAACTTCCTTGACATGTTCTCTTTTCTTTTCTTTTTTTTTAAAACCAAGAATAAATGGATGTAATGTAGGCATCATTCTTCTTCACCTACAGGGCGTATTTGGATTGTCACCTTATGGTCACAAATCCTCTTGATTATGTAGAACCTTTGTCGAAAGCTGGTGCTTCAGGTTTTACATTTCATGTTGAGGTATCAAAAGGTGGGTTGTGGTGTTTGGGAATGGGGATGTTCATTTTGCTTTTATTTCTTGTTGCTTTACTGTATTTTCTTGTTACCAAGGGGTCTCTATATTTATCCTTCATTCATTTACTTTATCCTCCTTTATGCAGAAAATTGGCAAGAACTTGTTCAAAGAATTAAGTCCAAGGGCATGAAGCCAGGTGTGGCATTAAAGCCTGGAACACCAATTGAAGACGTTTATCCTCTGGTCTTACTTCTTTCTCCTTCTTTCCCCCTTTATTTGGTGTTTTGCAAATTTTCAGTTCTGTTTAGGTGTGTGTGTGTGTGTATTGAATGGCCAGGCTTACTGACACGCCATTCTTTAACTTAATAAAGGAAATCTGATCTACTGCACTTGCATACATTGTCGAGTATTCGGTAACTTTTACTCCGCATAATTATTCGAATTGAGAAGGTATTCAATGATGCTTTGTAATCCACAGGTTGAGGGTGAAAATCCTGTGGAAATGGTCCTTGTTATGACTGTAGAACCTGGATTTGGTGGACAAAAGTTCATGCCAGAAATGATGGAGAAGGTGCGCACACTGAGAGAAAGGTACCCTTCGCTAGATATAGAGGTAAGTTAATCCCTTATGTTTTTTCTGAACCTTTTTATATGAAAGTTCCATTAGTTCGCCCCCGATATGGTGTATCTCTCCACACACACATTCTATGTGGGGTTTTAAGGGTTGTTTTTCCGGGGACGAGGGGATATGCGTCTCATTAGTGTCAACGGCATTACGCAGGTAGATGGTGGCTTAGGTCCTTCAACCATTAATGCAGCGGCTTCAGCCGGAGCCAACTGCATAGTTGCTGGAAGTTCAGTGTTTGGAGCCTCAGACCCTAGTGCAGTAATATCCCTTTTGAGAAGTAGTGTTGAGGAATCTCAACACGAAAGTTGATTCTGGTACATGCAAGATGTATCATAATTGGTTTTTTTGTTTATTTTTTTATATCAACATATATTAACAGTGTCTACACTACATGTATGATCCAGTTGGCGTGATGAGTTTTGAAACTTGATTGAATAAGAATATTTGAGGCTGCCCTCTCAAGTGTATTTATCATGAATTATGTCATACTTGTTTGTTTTAGATAATCATAACTCCCACACTACATGTATGATCCAGTTGGCGTGGTGAGTTTTGAAACTTGATTGAATAAGAATATTTGAGGCTGCCTTCTCAAGTGTATTTATCATGAAATTATGTCATACTTGTTTGTTTTAGGCAATCATAACTCCCCAGACAATAATGTCTACCACGTCAGCACGTGCTAATTTTTCTTTTCTTCTTAAGATATGTTTTCTGCTGATCTGTGGAGCACTTCTAATTTTGATGCACATGCACAAGACATGATATGCGATCTGCAAAATGTTTTCATTTGGTATCCACTACTGCTGATGCAGGACATTTTTTTTTTCTCTTTCCTTCATGCTAGCCTTGCCGCACGTGCAAAGCAGGTCCAAAAATTCAGTTTGGTGTTTTTCTCCTTTCGCTAACTATCGTTTTTCAAGCACCCATTTCATACAAAACAAGAGAAACAAGAGATCGGATCGATGTGTTTTTAAACGTTTGAGAAAGGGGAGATATCTATTTCCAGTTTTCATTCTTATTTCATCTCCACCCGAGCATTGTCATAATAGTACACGTGAGACTTGGACACTAGTGTAAGTTTTGTGGGCATGAGAAGAAACTCTACCCTTTTTTTATGTCTCGGCAAAGGCATTTAGATTTCAGGCATGCTCCAAAGTCCCAAATTCGTCTTGGTTTTAAAGTCCCTATTAATATGCGACTTAGTGTAAGTTTTGTGGGCATGATATGAGAAGAAACTACTCTATTTTTAATGTATCGGCCAAGGCATTTAGATTTCAGGCATGCTCAAATTCGTCTTGGTTTTAAAGTCTCTATTAATATTAATCCTGTTGACCAAGAGAAGTGGTTTGCATGTGTTATCACGTGCCCTTCTCTGTTGGACTCTCGGTTCATTCATATTCATTGGTACTTGGGTTTAACTTTGATTGGACGAAAAGTACATGCATCATCACTCTCCTCATCTGGCCTTCTGGGGTTCTTAGCTTAGTCCTCTTCTCTTGGGAGGATGAGCTGGAAATTGTACTACACTGCAACTGCGACGCAAGTTTTGATCCACTCTCTCTCTCTCTCTCTCTCACGAATGATTGAATGAATGACACAGCAAAACCCCGTGAACCCAATTTGCGTTTTCCAGCAACTAGCATCCCAGCAATTAGTCCACACAAGAAAAAAGCAAAAATGCACAAGATTGGATTGTATGTTGCACTTAGTGGGGTCATTATTGGAGCTAGCATTGCAATTGCAGCAGCTTTCTTGTTAATTCAGTTGAAGGAAAAGAAACAGGGTTCGCCAAAAGGAGGTGATGTGGAACTGCAACAGCTTAGCCTAAGTGTGAGAACCACAAGTGACAAGAAAGTCTCATTTGAGGGATCTCAGGAAACTTTAGATGGTCAGATCATCGATACCACCACACCCCGTAAGGTGCTGGTGGAGACATATAGCATTGAGGAGCTGAGAAGAGCAAAGTGGTTTGCATGTGTTATCACGTGCCTTTCTCTGTTGAACTCTCGGTTCATTCATGTTCATTGGTACTTGGGTTTCTTAATCTTAAATTTGATTGGACGAAAAGTGCATGCATCATCACTCTCCTCATCTGGCCTTCTGGGGTTCTTAGCTTAGTCCTCTTCTCTTGGGAGGATGAGCTGGAAATTGTACTACACTGCAACTGCGACGCAAGTTTTGATCCACTCTCTCTCTCTCTCTCTCTCTCGAATGATTGAATGAATGACACACATTCATGCATTTGGATTTCCCAAACAAGTTTTCCTGAATGAATCTGAGTGTGTTCCATGACCTCTCATTGTCTCTCTCACCAAGCATGAAGGGTTTTCTTTTTTATCCGGGTGCAATATACGGGGAGGGGGATCGAACTCAGATTTAAGGGAGCAGGCACACTGTTTTGAATAACTGGCCTTAACTCATATATGATGAAGGGTCTTTCTTTTTACCTGTTACTTCTTTTAGAAATAAATTTATAACTATGCACACTTATTGGTTTCATCTTTAGGCTATGACTAAAAGTTAATTATCATACAAGCAACGCGTGTGTGATGTGATGTGCGAGGACAAATATTGATTATAGGGCTATGAGTATTGGTGGCGTTTGTCAACTTAAGGATGTTCATCACCAATTTGACCTATCAATGTGTAGTGTAGGCCTCTCTCTCTTTCATGCCTCTCCTTTAACATGCATCGCGTCATTGTCTCTTCGAATGCATTTGGACTAAATTTATCCTCTTTTTTCTCCAATTCCCAATCAGCCTTTTCTAATCCTGCACCATTTTGATCCATACTGATATTGCCTGCCAATTAAGCTTTGCTTCCATCTTTTCATTTTGGGGAATGCACACATGATTTCTGCCGAGTTAGAGAAAGATTGGTAGCTACTTATGATCAGTGGCAATTGGAACTTCGGATGAATTAGCCCAAGGTAAGGACTAATTAAACAGCTGGAAACAGAGCAATTAATATATAGAATTCCTTTGTCATCCCCAAGAATCCTGTCCATGAACAACTTTGATAGAATTCTTGTATTTAATTTCAACTCCAACATATTTGTATGGATCCAAAATACTCACTCTCTCAAAGTAAGTATTTTAACTGTTTTGTTTTGTATTTTTTTTATAGGCCTTGTATCATGTGGAAGTGAGTGGTCAGTCTAGTGGTCATTGGCATGGCTGCAGCTTTGCTCACTAAGCTCCACTCGACAGCTTCTCTCTTATTCATCTCACTTCTCGTGTTTGCGGTACTTGGACACAAGTCACAGAACCTGTTAAGCTGCGAGACCACATCTCCTGATGCTTCTGGCTACCACTGCACTTCTGCTGGAACCAATGGATCATCACTAGAGAATCAGTGCAGGACGTTTGCGATTCTCCGGACTAACTCATACTACTCATCGCTTTTCAATCTGAGTGCTTACTTAGGCATCAACCGGTTCGTGATTGCAGAAGCAAACGGATTTTCAGCAGACACAGAGTTTCCAAAAACCAATAGCAATATGTGATGTGAATAAAGGGTTTCAAGGATCCAAACAAAAGACATGTTTGTAGCTATATGTTATAAATGTTTTAATTTGTCTTAGGTTTCTTGTCTTGGCGTTTTGGTAAGTAAGGTATACATAATAGTCTCCTTCTTCCTGTATATATATGTAAGCAAGAATCTGATAGGGACACAAAGAGCAGGTTTTCTCCTATGTATCATTAATCTCCGTTTCCTGAAATAAATAAATTGCATTGCTACTTATTCGAACCAAACCTTAATTGCAATATGTTGGATTGTATTGTATTGTATTGGATTGTATTAATCAACTAGTCTAAAAGGAATCCTAAATAAACTAATAATGACTTCCAAAAGATGAGCCTTTGTTGATACCAATCGACTGTAAATGCAGCAGCAATGGTGGGTTGTTTCATGCTGAATTGACAAAAACTACCATTAAGGGGGAGTCAGACACCATGGTACTACTGCATGAATCAAAACATCATGACCTTAAACTCATCAAAATTGAGGACCCCATCACCATTGAGATCAAATATGGAAATCATGACCTTGCAGTCATCAACGCTCTTGGACTCTCCAAGTCTACTCAGCATCCTCTTAGAGCACTTCCATCGGTTGGCCTTAGCCCGGGCAGGAGGGGGCCCAAGCCCCAGGGAGCTTTTATGGCATTGCTAAAGCACTTGAAGGCTTGACAACCTGCAAAGCCATCCGAGAGAAGAACCGGGGCGTCTCGCCTTGGGCTCTTGCTGATAAGCTTCAGTTACTCATCCCCTTGAGATGTGCTTGTCCTTCTTCATCTTCCCAATCAAGACTCTTGCTGTCTTATCCGGTGAGTGAAGGTGATACATGCAGCCCGGGCAACTGGTGGGCTCCACAAGCCTGGGTAGGCCCAAAGGCAAGAATAGCCTAGGCTGTTGCCTGGGTTTGCTGACGTCAGCAACCAAAAAAATATCTAAAAAAATACTAAAAGTTTCAGAATTTTTTTTAATAAATACTTAGTTATATTCTTCACTTCCCACATCAAAACTCTATACAAATTCCTCTCCTCATATCTCATGTGAATAGTGGTTGCCCTTGGGTTGCCATGACAATGGGTGGAAACACCACAAGCCTTTTGCAAAGGCTGCCACTATTCACATGAATAGTAGCAGCCCTTGCCTTATCCTTGTCTTTTGCCATGGCAAATGAGTGGAAGTGCTCTTAAGGCTCTTGGGTGACACTTGGTCCCCTAGCAAAACCCCGTGAACCCAATTTGCGTTTTCCAGCAACTAGCATCCCAGCAATTAGTCCACACAAGAAAAAACCAAAAATGCACAAGATTGGATTGTATGTTGCACTTAGTGGGGTCATTATTGGATCTAGCATTGCAATTGCAGCAGCTTTCTTGTTAATTCAGTTGAAGAAAAAGAAACAGGGTTCGCCAAAAGGAGGTGATGTGGAACTGCAACAGCTTAGCCTAAGTGTGAGAACCACAAGCGACAAGAAAGTCTCATTTGAGGGATCTCAGGAAACATTAGATGGTCAGATCATCGATACCACCACACCCCGTAAGGTGCTGGTGGAGACATATAGCATTGAGGAGCTGAGAAGAGCAACCACCTTTGCCTCTTGTTGAAGAATATAAGTCCCACATTGAAAACTTGACTAAATAAAATACAATATATAATGAATGGTTCCACTACTAATATCACCGAGGCCTTTTGTGGTGAAACCTCACACTTACTGGGCTTTGTAGGTGGTTAAGTTGGGGACAATATCGGTGTTATTAGTAGTGGGACGTATGCCCGTCTCTTTGAAATTTAACATAGTATCAGAGCGGGTTGATTGACTGTGCCTGAATTGGGCCTTTACCCTTACTCAATATGTGGTGTTCACATATTGGGCTTGAATGTTTATCTCTACATCTTATCCAATACTTGGTGTTCACGTGTTGGGCTTAAATGATTGACTCCAATATGTACTTAGCTCCATTTGTAGCCCACTATGTGGTGGTCCCATGTGAGGGGGCGTGTTGAAGAATATAAGTCTTACATTGGAAACTTGATTAAATAAAATACAATATATAATGAACGGTGTTGTTAGTAGTGGGTCGCAGGCCCGTCTCTCTGAAATTTAACACCTCTGTCAACCATAGCCCTCCGCTGAAGTCAGATAATGCAGATGAGCTAAGGGAATGGATGGACAGCGGGTTGGGTGAAAATTACTCGTTCGATGCAGCTGTCATGTTGTCGAATCTTGCGAGGGCTTGTGTAGATGAAGACCCTTGTTTGAGACCAAGTGCAGGAGAAATTGTTGAGAAACTGTCAAGGTTGGTGGAAGAGTCGCTAAGCCAAGAAGGAGAGAATATTTTAATCAGTGAGAGCTCTTGTAAACCTCTAGTGAAGGCAGCAGTAAAAACCAATAGCAATATGTGATGTGAATAAAGGGTTTCAAGGATCCAAACAAAAGACATGTTTGTAGCTATATGTTACAAATGTTTTAATTTGTCTTAGGTTTCTTGTCTTGGCGTTTTGGTAAGTAAGGTATACATAATAGTCTCCTTCTTCCTGTATATATATGTAAGCAAGAATCTGATAGGGACACAAAGAGCAGGTTTTCTCCTATGTATCATTAATCTCCGTTTCCTGAAATAAATAAATTGCATTGCTACTTATTCGAACCAAACCTTAATTGCAATATGTTGGATTGTATTGTATTGTATTGGATTGTATTAATCAACTAGTCTAAAAGGAATCCTAAATAAACTAATAATGAATGAACAAATTACAAAAGCTAGGCTAAGAATATAGATTCTTAAATACAAATTGAAAACCACCTAAACACACTTTAAGATTTATGGTGGGGTTGAGTGTTTTGCTTTACGATAAGAGTGCAGTATAGATTGGATTCTTAAAGAGCGAGAATTTTTCTTTGCTTGTGCAATGAAAAATGAAAAAGATATATGCTTATGCTTGGCTCTGTTTCTGTTTTGCTTGTGCACATTACAATATACCAGACGCGAAACGTAACCATGGTACTACTGCATCATGACCTTAAACTCATCAGAATTGAGGACCCCATCACCATTGAGATCAAATCTGGAAATCATGACCTTGCACTCATCAACGCTCTTGGACTCTCCAAGTCTACTCAGCATCCTCTTAAGGCTCTTGGGTGTAATGCACCAAAACCCACACCCATCATCCATCACGTACATCTTAAAAGCCTCCTTCAAATCATTCACCTTCTCTTCTTCGGTACTTTTTCTTCACATGCGGTGATGGAAGATTATATATGAGCCCCCGCTAAAAATTTATTAGAATTATGAATTTTTGTAGAAATGTTGCTTGAATTTATACATCAATTTCAATTTATCAACTTAAAGAAAAATGTAAGAAAAATGTCACCTTAATTTTTCAAAATTCATTATTTCAAAATTCATTGTTGTCATTTGACTTTAACACAATTTAATTTTCCACCATTTTAAAAGGTATTTTAGGATTTCCATTTTTAAGGGTATTATCTAAACATATTTAAGAGTATTTTAATCTTTCAATTTTCCATCCAATTTTCCTATACCAAAACATATTTAAGGGTAAGACTAAAACATCAACGCTCTTGGATTCTCCCCCAAGTCTACTCAACATCCTCTTAAGGCTCTTGGGTGTAATGCACCCAAACCCACACCCATCATCCATCACGTACATCTTAAAAGCCTCCTTCAAATCATTCACCTTCTCTTCTTCTCTTCTTCTCTTCTGCTATCAACAAACTTGACAAAGTCATCCAAACCCAGCAGCCCATCTCCATCTTAGTCCAGGTGCTCCACTGCCACCTCTGCCTCTTGTTGAAGAATATAAGTCTCATATCGAAAACTTGACTAAATAAAATACAGTATGTAATGAATGGTTTCACTACTAATATCACCGAGACCTTTTGTGATAAAACCTCACATTTACTGGGCTTTGTACATGGTTAAGTTGGGGACAATATTGGTGTTATTAGTAGTGGGCCGCATGCCCGTCTCTCTGAAATTTAACATGTTATCAAAGCGGGTTGATTGACTGGGCCTGAATTGGGCTTTTGCCCTTACCCAATATGTGGTGTTCACATGTTGGGCTTGAATGTTTACCCCTACCCCTTACCCAATACGTGGTGTTCACGTGAGGGGTGTGAAGTTGGGTAGGTGAGGTTTTTCATTTTCTTTATAAAAAAAATCGTTAAATATCGGATTTACCCTTAATTTAGACAGAAATTTGGATGGAATTTGAAAAAAATTGATGATAGGCCCTCAATCGGTGATTTTTAAACAATTGGAGTCCTTAATTTGCTGAAAAATTTGTTAAGGGGCTAAATTGACAATATGCAAATAGTTTAGGGGACAAAATCGTAGAAAACTCAAAAATTTATGTCCTTAATTTACTGAACAATTAGTTTGGGGAGTATATTGACAATTATGCTATAGTTCAGTGGGCAAAACGGTTGTTTAATGATGAAACAAAGTTGAACATTCAGGTCATGCAATTATATCATGCATCTTTTATAACCATAGCATATTGTGCCACTTTGTCCATTAATTCACTTGAATAAATTTTTTCTTCTTTAAGAGCAGAGGTTATAAAAGGAATCTCAGAAACCGATTTTTGTAGGAAAGTAGGTGTGCAAATTAGATTTTAATTACCGACTTCAATTCAAGGTTTTCTCGAAGGAAATAGATGATGGGCCAACTGTCAGCCAACCGTCAAAACCGCCTCAACCACCAGAAAGAAAAGAAGATTAATTCATCATGAAAGTAGCAAGCAGCTTCTTTATTTTGCAGTCAAAACATACACTAATATCAATTATTGGAGACACGAATGATCACCAATATTCCAATAAATCAAATCAATATCCATCCAGTAATAAAAAATAAAATATCAATATCAACAAACAATAAATCCTACATATATCATTTTAAATTAAATTAAAAACATCATATACTTTCACACTAGCTAGTGTTCGTCTCTTGGGAGATACTAAAAACTGCTCGTTTGGTTTTTTGTTTCCGAACTTTTAAAATAAAATTAGAAATAATAAAGACAAACCGGGCCAGGCAGGCCATGGTTGGCAAGTCCGGCAAACAGTACTTCTAGATAGATAGATAGATATTAGCAAGGCTGCTGCTGGTTCTACAGACAGAGACTAGAAATTATCTGGGTAGTTTCCAGAATTTTATTTCAGAGCTTGAGTCAGACTCAGAACACACAATTTAAGGCTAGATAGCTAGCTGCTTAATTAAAACTCACACAAAAGCAGATTACATTAATATCCAAGCTTTTATCAAGCGTTGGTAATGGTAATTATTAATGAAAGATATGAAACACCACAATCCCGAAAATGACACAAGAAATAATTAAGGCCGGCGAATTGTATATATGGTCTGAAGTAATGTGAGAAGCAGCAGAATAACAGCCGCGAAGATAGAAATGACCTTCCATGGGGTAGAAAAATAGTCACGCCTCAGTATTTGTTGTGCGGAAGCGTCAACCAAGTGCGAGTGAAAATAAACACAACTAGCAGGAGATAAAATAATGGAGACAAAACAACACTGTGCACATTACAATATAGTGTTGGTACTTTTTCTTCACATGTGGTGATGGAAGATTATATATGAGCCCTCGGTAAAAATTTATTAGAATTAGGAATTTTTGTAGAAATGTTACTTGAATTTATACATCAGTTTCAATTTGTCACTCTAAAGAAAAATGTAAGAGAAATGTCACATGAATTTTTCAAAATTCATGATTGTCATCTGACTTTAACACCATCCAATTTTCCACCATTTTAAATGGTATTTTAGTGTTTCCATTTTTAAGAGTATTATCTAAACATATTTAAGAGTATTTTAGTATTTTAGTCTTTCAATTTTCCATCCAATTTTCCTATACCAAAATAAATATTAGATAAAAATGACTGCTCGTTTGGTTTTTTGTTTCCAAACTTTTAAAATAAAATTAGAAAGAATAAAGACAAACCGGGGCAGGCAGGCCATGGTTGGCAAGTCCGGCAAAGAGTACTTCTAGATAGATAGATAGATAGATAGATAGATATTAGCAAGGCTGCTGCTGGTTCTACATACAGAGACTAGAAAATATCCGTGTAGTTTCCAGAATTTTATTTCAGAGCTTGAGTCAGACTCAGAACACACAATTTAAGGCTAGCTAGCTAGCTGCTTAATTAAAACTCACCCAAGAACAGATTACATTAATATCCAAGCTTTTATCAAGCGTTGGTAATGGTAATTATTAATGAAAGATATGAAACACCACAATCCCAAAGATGACGCAAGAAATAATTAAAACTGGTGAATTGTATATATGGTCTCAAGTAGGGTGAGGAGCAGCAGGATAACGGCAGCGATGAAAGAAATGACCTTCCATGGGGTAGATAAATAGTCACGCCTCAGTATTTCCATCCACTTGTTGCAGGTTTCGATCCACTTGTTCCAGGGAGTGTAGTAATATTTATTCACATCTTCGCAGATACCTCTGTAGTAAAATCCAATGACAGTTGTGTCATTCCAAAGCTCGTTGAATAATTTAGGGGCTAAACCAATTCGCCAATATTTTTTTCTCACGAAGAAGATCTACATCCTTGCTCGTGTCGATGAGGTTGTCCATCAGAACGGCGTAGGATGTTATCTTGTGCAGCCGAAGTGGGTGGCATTGTTCGAAGGCGATGAGGTTCCTGAACAACAGAGGCCCTGTCTTCTCGTCAATTCCCAGCTGTGGGATTGTGAATACCCCGTTTTTGAAGTTGAACTCTATGTTCATTATGCACTCTGGGGTGTTTTTGCTTCTTCTGAACAGAACACCTGCCTCCGAAAGAGTTGTTGCATTTGGGATCCGTTGTGGCAATTCTGGCTCGTTTTTCTGCTCTTCTTGTTCTTCCACACGCTCTTCCTTCTTCTGAGATTTCAAATCCTTGAATGGAACAACGATCACGGTTCTTATCAGATCAAGTATGTGCAAAATCTCAAATGGGAGGTTGGGGTCGAAAATCCGTTCATCGGTCACAGCTTGTCTGAAGAAGTTGAGCACAAGTTCAGTGAGGGAGGCAGTTTTTTGGTTAGCGTTATTGGCGGTTAGGTTGTATAAACGCTCCAGCACAAACCAAGGGAGCTGATTTTCTAGCAGCAGAAGGTCATGGTACAGATACTCCAGCATACAAGACAGGTTGAAAACGGGGTCGTTTTCATCTCTCATGGTACAGATACTCCAGCATACAAGACATGTTGAAAACGGGGTCCTTTTCATCTCGTAGATCATCCCAAAGTACCTTTCGGAATAGTTCTAACAAGAAGCAACCATCAAGTATTATCATTTCTACGAAGTCTTTTTGACTGAGATGATTCGACGCATCTGAGTAGGAATCGCGGGGCCTTCTGCCCAACTCCGTGATGCCTTTGATCAAGCTCTCCAAGCTTATATCCGGGCATGATGAGAGAAGGCACCTTAAATACCACCATTTTACATTTTCCATGAGTTGGAATTTTTCGCCGCAGCCTCGGTGGAAGGGCCCGATTGAGAGTATGTCAGGTTCATAGGCCGCTGTTTTGTGTCTCCGAATCAATTCGGGAACTCTGAAGATGCAGGGGTAAGCAGGCAAGGACGAATCACAAAAAAGCTTTGTTGCCATGGTGTTTCTCAATTCTTCAGCAATGCCATCGTCTATAAGAATCGATGTACTATCAACGTTTCTGTAATTTGCCATGACTACTATAGAATAGATATATGCTCCCAATCTGTGAATATAGTTGTCCTGAAATGATTAATGCTGAAACAAAATTGATCCAATTGCGCCATTTAAGGGCTTGTGTTTATTTGTTCTGATGTGTTTGAAAAAGACAGCCCTAACCATATCTAATATCATTTCATCATTTCATCATTTCATCATATGATCTGAGGCTAGAAATTTAGCCAAGAAGTTGTGAGTAGAGATTGATGTGATGTGAGTACATAATTATAACAGTAAGTGTGACTCAAACTTCAAATTGAAAATTCAATATATGTTTGTAACTTCCAATTATTTTCTTAATATATATAAGATGTATTTGGGTTGGGGTTGGACACTTGGACTGGAGCCGGCCAAAGAGTTGAGATAAAATGGTTAGAAAAACATGTGTACCTGAATTTTAACACCACATCTGGCTATGCCGTTAGAAGAAGAAGAAGAAGAAGATTCAGCAGACCAAAATGGAGCATCAGAGAGGAAGAGATCAACAGAAATTAGTGCGGCTATTTTCTTGTGTGATCATAAAGGAAATAGGAGGCGTATTCACCATAATTCTAATTTGTTTTTGCCTGGGTTGTTCTGCTCAGCTCTGCTGCTCATATATATAATCTTCCATCACACGTGAAGAAAAACTTTACTACCAACGAACATTATATTTTAATGTGCACAAGCAAAACAGAAACAGAGCCAGGCATAAACATAAACATACATCTTTTTCATTGCAGAAGCAAAGAAAAATTCTCACTTTTTAAGAATGTAAACTACACTCTTATCCTTTTTTGTTCGAAATACTACACTCTTATCCAAAAGCAAAAAACTCAACCCCACCATAAATCTAAATCTTGAAGTGTGTTTAGTTGGTTTTTCAATTTTTATTTATTGTCTTCAGACAGAGGATTGGACCCCATACCCCATCCCTCATTTAACTCCCTCACCCAAATTTTAAACAAATGTTGCGGCGCAGTGCAGTGCAGTGCAGGAGGTCTAATTTTGTATCACTATGGAGGAACTAGGCATATTCATCATAAACAACTTGTTAAACATAATTCTAAGGGAATTTTGTAGAAATGTCACTTGAACTTATACCTGAGTTTCAATTTGTCACCTTAAGGAAAAATTTAAGAGAAATGTCACCTTAATTTTTCAAAATTCATTATTTATCATCTAACTTTAACACCATCCATTTTTAAGGGTATTTTAGTCTTTTCATTTTCAAGAGTATTTTAGGCACCTTAATCGTTCGATGCAGCTGTCACATTGGCGAATCTTGCGAGGGCTTGTGTAGATGAAGACCCTTGCCGATTCAAGTGTCCACCATACTATCAAGGTGTAATGGGGTTCGAACCCTTATGACACCTTGATACTGTGTGTGTGAAAAACCCCACTCTCTTTTGTAGTTTAGATTATCACTTGTATTTTTTTTAAAAAAAACATACCAGGGATGATAAGAACCTCTCTCTAATATTAATCAACTCAATCCCTGCAATATTTATCTCTGTCTTATCTCTGTCTCAAGTTAGGATTGGCTGAAAAGCAGGTCCTAAAGCCATAAAGGAATCCTAAGTAAACTACTAATGAATGAAAAAAGCAGGTCCTAAAGCTAAGCAAAAACATAAAAACATATTTATTTATTTATTTATACTACATAAATATGGTCGATTATCCAATCTAATCTAATCCCAGACACGGGAAAGGTAACCATAGTACTACTGCATGGATCAAAACATCATGACCTTAAACTCATCAAAATTGAGGACCCCATCACCATTGAGATCAAATCTGGAAATCATGACCTTGCAGTCATCAACGCTCTTGGACTCTCCAAGTCTACTCAGCATCCTCTTAAGGCTCTTGGGTGTAATGCACGCAAACCCACACCCATCATCCATCACGTACATCTTAAACGCCTCCTTCAAATCATTCACCTTCTCTTCTTCTCTTCCGCCGTCGACAAACTTAACAAAGTCATCCAAACCCAGCAGCCCATCTCCGTCTGAGTCCAGGTGCTCCACGGCCACCTCTGCCTCTGTCAACGAAAGCTCTCCGCCGATTGCCCCAACACATTGTTGCAGCTCCAAAGGTGATATTTTGCCATCTCCATTTGCATCAAATTGATTGAAAACGCGCTCATATTGTGCCACTTTGTCCATTAATTCACTTGGATCAAATTTTTATTCTATAGGAAGCAAGCACTAGTCTTCTTTTTACAATGCACGAAAGAGCAGAGGTTATATGGCCACAAACAATGCCGCGTGTCGTGTCGTGGTTGACCAAACGCTGGTGTGTAAGTCCTGGGTAGTTTCGTAAATACGTGTGGAAGACCCTACTCTTCTTGACCAACCAAAACCTTTTGTTCTGTTTATAAAAGGAATCTCAGAAACCGGTTTTTCTAGGTAAGGTGTACAAATTAGATTTTAATTACCGACTACAATTCAAGGTTCTTTCGAAGGAAATAGATGGGCCCACTGCCAGCCAACTGTCAAAACCACCTCAACCACCCGAAAGAAAAGAACATTAATTCATCGTGAAAGTAGCAAGCAACTTCCTTGAAGTTATATTCTCTTTGTTTTCGTTTTTCTGTACCCACTGGCGCCCAAAATATTTGATAAAAATGACTGCTCGTTTGGTTTTTTCTTTCCAAACAATTAAAATTAAAATTTGGAAGAATGAAGACAAACCGGCCAGGCCATGGTCGGCAAGTCCGGCAAAGAGTAGTTCTAGATAGATATTAGCAAGGCTGCTGCTGCTGGTTCTACAGAGACTAGAAAATATCTGGCTAGTTTCCAGAATTTTCCAGAGCTTCAGAAATTAAAGACCGTAGACAAACTGGGCGGCATCAAAGCTTATTAAGATTACATATATATATATCCAAGCTTGCTTATTAAGCGTTGGTAACTATATATTATTGAAAGAAATTAAAGAACGAATTAAGGGTGAATAATTGTATATGCGGTCTGCACTAGGGTGAGGACCAGCAGGATAAAGGCGGCGATGAAAGAAATGACGGCCCATGGGGTAGAAAAATAGTCACGCCTCAGTTTTTCCCTCCACTTGTTCCAGTCAGTGTTGTAATATTCATTCACATCATTGCAGAGATCTCTGTAGTAAAATCCAGTGACAGTTGTGTCATTGTAAAGCTCGTTGAAGAACTGGGAGGCATCTTCAGGGCTCAACCAATTCGCCAATATTTTTTTCTCACGAAGAAGATCTACATCCTTGCTCGTGTCGATGAGGTTGTCCATCAAAACGGCGTAGGATGTTATCTTGTGCAGCCGACCGTGGTGGCATTGTTCGAAGGCGATGAGGTTCCTGAACAGAGGCCCTGTTTTCTCGTCAATTCCCAGCGGTGGAATTGTGAATACCCCGTTTTTGAAGTTGAACTCTATGTTCATTATGCACTCTGGGGTGTTTTTGCTTCTTCTGAACTGAACACCTGCCTCCGAAAGAGTTGTTGCATTTGGGATCCGTTGTGGCAATTCTGGCTCGTTTTTCTGCTCTTCTTGTTCTTCCACACGCTCTTCCTTCTTCTGAGATTTCAAATCCTTGAATGGAACAACGATCACGGTTCTTATCAGATCAAGTATGTGCAAAATCTCAAATGGGAGGTTGGGGTCGAAAATCCGTTCATCGGTCACAGCTTGTCTGAAGAAGTTGAGCACAAGTTCAGTGAGGGAGGCAGTTTTTTGGTTAGCGTTATTGGCGGTTAGGTTGTATAAACGCTCCAGCACAAACCAAGGGAGCTGATTTTCTAGCAGCAGAAGGTCATGGTACAGATACTCCAGCATACAAGACAGGTTGAAAACGGGGTCGTTTTCATCTTGTAGATCATCCCAAAGTTCCTTTCGGAATAGTTCTAACAAGAAGCAACCATCAAGTATCATCATTTCTACGAAGTCTTTTTGACTGAGATGATCCAACGGGTCTGCATAACATTCACGGGCGCTTCTGCCCAACTCCATGATGCCTTTGATCAAACTATCCAAACTTATATCCAAGCAAGATGAGAGAAGGCACTGTAAATACCACCGTTTTACAGTTTCCATGAGTTGGAATTTTTCGCCGCAGCCTTGGTGGAATGGCCCGATTGAGACTATGTCAGGTTCATAGGCCGCTGTTTTTTGTCTCCGAATCAAATCGGGAACTCTGAAGATGCAGCAGTGAGCAGGCACGGGTGAATTGCCAAGAAGCTTTGTTGCTATGGTTTTTCTCAATTCTTCAGCAATGCCATCGTCTATAAGAATCGATGTACTATCAACGTTTCTGTAATTTGCCATGACTACTATAGAATAGATATATGCTCCCAATCTGTGAATATAGTTGTCCTGAAATGATTAATGCTGAAACAAAATTGATCCAATTGCGCCATTAAGGGCTTGTGTATATTTGTTCTGATATGTTTGAAAAAAACAACCCTAACCCTAACCATATCTAATATAATTTCATCATATGATCTGAGGCTGGAAATTTAGCCAAGAAGTTGTGAGTAAAGATTGAGCTAATTAATATGGAGCTATTAAGTATGCTTTGGTCTTGATGTTTAGAGAGAGATGGGCTTACATTACTTTTGTTCTGAACTGAACAATATATTTTACATGCAACGGACTTTTAGTCCCAACTCCTAACAAAGTTAACAGAGCTGTGATGCGATGTGAGTACATAATTATAACAATAAGTGTGACTCAAACTTCAAATTGAAAATTCAATATATGTTTGTAACTTCCAATTATTTTCTTAATATATATAAGATGTATTTGGGTTGGGGTTGGACACTTGGACTGGAGCCGGCCAAAGAGTTGAGATAAAATGGTTAGAAAAACATGTGTACCTGAATTTTAACACCACATCTGGCTATGCCGTTAGAAGAAGAAGAAGAAGATTCAGCAGACCAAAATGGACCATCAGAGAGGTAGAGATCAACAAAAATTAGTGCTGCGATTTTCTTGTGTGATCATAAAGGAAATAGGAGGCGTATTCACCATAAAACACTTGTTCAACATAATTCTAATTTGTTTTTCCCTGGGCTGTTCTGCTCTGCTGCTCATATATAATATAATCTTCCATCACACGTGAAGAAAAAGTTTACTACCAACGAACATTATATTTTAATGTGCACAAGCAAAACAGAAACAGAGCCAAGCATAAACATAAACACGCATCTTTTTCATTGCAGAAGCAAAGAAAAATTCTCGCTTTTTAAGAATGTAAACTACACTCTTATCTTTTCTTGTTCGAAATACTACACTCTTAGAACAAGTGCAGCGCAAGGCTGTGGCCCGGGCAAAAGGGCCCCTGCCAGCCCAAAAGCCCCTCCAGCGCTCGACATGCAGTCTGGGCAAGCCCTGGGTCCCACCAACCCGGGCAAGCCCAAGGGCAATTTTTGCCTGGGCTTCAGCCCGAAGGTGCTGACATCAGTGAGCAAAAAAAAATCTAAAAAAAAACCAAAAAATTATGGATGTTTTCCCTATAAATACATAACAATTTTATTCACTTTCCACACCAAATCTTCGTACAAAGTCTTCTCCTTCCAATATTTTTTACTTTCCACTCACATTTTTCTACTACTTTCCAATAAAGAAAGCATTAAATAATATGACTATTTATTAAAAATATTTGCACATCACAACAAAGATTAATTAAAAACAAACCTTCATTTATTGCAAACAACACACAAAATAAACCATAATTAAAATCTGATCTGACATGGGACACGTGGCGCAATTTTAGAGGGTGAAAATCTTATCTGAAATATGAGATTATAATTTTTTTTAATAAATATCCGAAAATCTTATCTGAAATAAAACATGGCAACTGAAAATCTTATCTGAAATTTGATGGACACGTGGCAACTGAAAATGTTATCCGAATATATTATCTGAATTTTTAGGTGAGAATTTTATATAAATAGTGACACGTGGAAACCGAAAATATTATCTGAAAAGCTTATCGAAATTAATGGTTTAAGTATAAAAAAAAAATAGAAAATAAGGTAAGGTGAATAGTGTTTGCCCTTGCCGTTGCCCTTTGGGGTGGAATAAAAAAAGGCAAGGCTGCCACTATTCATGTGAATAGTGTCATCCATTGCCTTGCCTTTGCCTTGCCCTTGCCTTTTGGGGTGGAGGTGCTCTAAAAGCAAAAAACTCAACCCCACCATGAATCTAAATCTTAAAGTGTGTTTAGTTTTTTTTTTTTTTTGGTCGAAAGGGAAACTTCATTGAAGGGGAAACAACCCAAAAGGAACAGAGACAAGGAAAGAAAAAGATAGCAGCCTAGGGGACATACCCGCCCAGGAGCAAGCAGAAAAAAACCACACAGACATGCTAGAGAAAAGAAAGCAGAAAGTAACAGAAACTAGAGGGCCACAAACTAGGACGTCACCAAAGGAGCACGTTAGCCTCTAGCCAACAGAAGGAGATTAACATGGGGGGCAAGGCAGACCATCCGATTGAAGAACAAACACAAGGGAAGAAAGGGGGTCTGTCAAGCCAAACCTTATCGCACTTCGTCCTCCTAGCAATAGCTGCAATGGCATCAGCGGCCCTATTGGCTCGGCGAGAGATCCATCGCCAATCACAAGAGATAAAATTGTTACAGAATCTTCTAATGGCAGAGATGATGGGGTAGATGGACCAAATTCCTTAACAAGGGTAGATGGACCAAATTCCTTAACAAGGGTAGATGGACCAAATTTCTAATGGTAGAGATGATGGGGTAGATGGACCAAATTCCTTAACAAGCACTTGGGAGTTCGATTCAATGACAACATTTGCCAGACACATCTCAGCCGTAAGAGAAATACCAGTAAGAGCTGCGTGGGCTTTAGCTTCAAGAACCGAATTTGCATTTTTACAGGCAGCAAAACCACCCATGAACACACCACCTGAATTACGAATTACCCCTCCAAAACCAGCATCAGGATGAGTTGTTGCCCAACTAGCATCCACATTTAAATTGCACCATGCAGCAGGCGGGGGGGACCAAACATCATCAATGGTAAAGGTGGTACCAGGTTGGTGCACGGGAAGAGAAACATCTTTCAGCATATCAAAATCATAGATCATGCATTTTATATGAGACAGCGTTTGTCTTGGACACAAGGGACTGCCATCAAAGATCGTCGCACAACGACTACACCAAATGCCCCAACAAGTATAGGCCACATGGGAAATAATCCAGGTTCTGTTAGCACATAGAGAGCTATGAGGCCCAATCACATCGTAAAGCCATTCAGCCATAAAGGTGACACGTTGCCTATCAACACAATAATTCATGGGGTTGCCAAACCAAACCAACTTGACCCAATCGCATAGAAGGAATAAGTGCTCCAAAGATTCAGATGCTTGCTCACACAAGGGGCATATGGGGGAGTCACCAAGATGCCGCTTGAACAAATTCTCCTTCGAAGCCAAACAACCCGAGAGAACTCTCCACAATAATTTTTTTAATTTTAGGATTAAGGGGGAGTTCCATATCACTTTCCAAAGAACATCAGTATGAGCATGAAGACTAGAAGGGCACAAGTCAACATTGGAGGAGTTTCTGGAATGAATAAGGTGGTAACCGGATTTCACAGAATAATCACCATTGTGGTTCAAGGGCCAAATAACACGATCAGATTCACTTCCATCACCCAATGGGAGAGCCAAAAAATTTTCCAGATCGCGATCAGAAATGGCATCACGAATGCAACTAAGGTTCCACTGCATAGAAATGGGGTTAATAATAGTAGAGACCATCAAAGTATCATCTCTTGTGCTTCCATCAGTGGGACGGAGGATAGGATTGGCAACACAAGGGAGCCATTTGTCAGTCCAAAGGTGAACTCTACTACCATCAAGAATTTGCCAACGAGCTCCACGAAGGATGAGATCTCTTCCAGCAAGCAAGCTGGACCATGCCCAGGAAGCTCTGGCACCCTTGGGAGCCAGGAGAAAATCACAGTTAGGAAAGTACCTGCTTTTTATCACTTTAGCCCAGAAAGAGTCAGGCTCAGTTAAGAGTCTCCAGCACTGCTTAGCCAACAAAGCTAGGTTGAAATCATGCAGGTTTCGAAACCCCATGCCTCCTTCATGTTTTGGCATCCCCAAAGCCCGCCAGCTAATCCAATGGATCTTGTTTTTGTCCCCAGAATGACCCCACCAGAAATTGGCCAAAATACCATCAAGCTCACTGCAGAAACCCTTAGGAAATAGAAAAATTGACATGGGATAAGTGGGAATAGCAAGAGCAACAGATTTGATGAGAGTTTCCTTTTCCTTGACCCAGAGTCAACACCTTCATTAAGTTCCTTTGCAGCAACAGACTGCATATGTGGGGTCAAAGTCTGAAAACATTACAGAGAAAGAATCAGATGCAAGACCTTCATTCAGTAAGATAGTATTGAAATTGTAGATTTGAAGGGAAACTCAACGAGGAAAAACAGAGGGAAACAGTTACTCTGACCTGCCACCAGATAGATTCAACTATTCGGGAGAAGATCCACGATTCAATCTTCTCCAGTGTAGACATAAATGTATGTGGGTTATCACAGTCGAAACTTCCATTTAAGAGCTTCATTCCTTCTTTCTTCCCAGAGGAGGGAGCCTTCCATTTTATTGGAGATGACACATTATTTTTTACTTTTCCAGCACCATTCCGGTCAATAGAAGACCCTGGAGACAGAAGTAGTTCTGGTTCCCCGGTAACCTGGCTTATTATTGTTCTCAACACAATGGAATTTGACAGCCAATATGTTAGCCTGTAATCAGAGAAAATTAAAATGAATGAGTCCATAAAACAATTATGAAAACTTCACTTAAACAATTAATAGATGCAGTTCTAAAGCACGGTAAAATAAGCAGACAAGCTTCTTCCCCACAAGTACAATCACTTGGTTTGGTGCGTCAAGCAGACCATGATTGGATTGGATTTATTCCAATTTTAATTTTTAAATCCTGGGGTAGGACCCTTGAATGGAAGGTCCATGTCCTAAATGTTAGGCTTATGCAGCCATAAACACATTTTCTTTTCTTTTTCTTTTTTGGATCCTCATGCAGTAAATACACTTGAAAATTGAAACCTTACAGCTCCAAAAACTTTTGCTTCAAAACATCAATCTCGAAGGTGATAAGTTGTAAATAAGACATAAAGAAAATACAGAAAACAAGTATCATTAAAATGTACCTTGGGACATCATTCCCACACGCTTTTGCAACCAAAACTAGTCCTGAAACAATACTTCTAGCTGCACTGGCCCTCCTAGAACGGGAACTTTCTTTGCAAGCATGAAGATACAACCTAGAAAGGCGCCGAGCCGGAGCATGGACCTTACTCATAGAACTTCCATGCTCAGCGACTACTGAATAAAGGGCAGCCTCGACAGCTGCAGCTTCTCTCAATTCTCCCTCAAGCAACTTTATCCTGTGTTCCAGCTGATGGATTTTGCTTTCTAAAATGACACTTCTTGTATCCCTAGGATACACCTTAGCTTCTTTTCTTTCCTTCCCTCTGAGGCTTGCTGCAACACCTGCACTGTTCTGTGCATCTCCCTGAATACCAGTTTCCTTTAGTTCTGCATTCTGATCATTCCTGGGTAATGCGTTCTTAGCCGAGTCAATAGCTGACCTAACAGACTTAACATGCTTTATATTTTCCTTCGTTCCGAGTGGATCTTGCTTTCCGTTAGCCTCATGTGCAATGAATGATTCACCTCCCCTCTGAGCTTGCTTTTCCTCATCAACATGTTGTCTTTCATCTCTGTTTTCTTGTTTCTTTCTTTCGTTGTCCTCCGTAGAACTATCATCACTAACTGCAGCCTCCGGGCAATCCCTGCCAATTCCCCAAGCTTTCTCATCATACTTGCTACTCTGTTGAATAACAGCTGTGATTTTACTTCTGCCATCAAAAACCTTGTCATTAACCTCGTGAGATAAACGCTCATGGCCATTGCTTCTCATGCTGGTGCGGGACTCCTCAGCCTTTTCATTCAATACGGATGCGGATGGAGAAGGGGCGGTCTCTGAACCAACAGCTTTTAGGATTGTTGAACTTGAGCTGGGAGAGTTGGCTACAGAAGCATTACCATTTACTGGGCTTCCAGGGTCAGAAGATAGGTCGACTGATGATGAGCATGATGAACCTCCCTTCATAAATTCATGTATTAAATTTGGTCTTTCAAGCCCTAGTTTTGAGGCTAAGGCATGCTTTTCATTTTTACCTTCAGTGCTATGAGGCCGTGTCTCTTCTCCAGTCTGCAATTCAGTACCACAGTGTTATATTACATATTACTGTCTAAGTTATTATAAAAAGGAAGAGAAATCTTGGTTATCTCTCATTTGCAACATACTGTACCCATGAGCAATGAGCATGACCAATGCTGGAGTTCGTAAAGACTGTTGCAGTTACAATGACAAGTTTCCATCAAGAGGAGAAAAAATGAAAACTAAGAGAATCATTACCTCTTGTTTTTTAGGAGACAAAGTGCGATTTGTATCTAAAGCAGAAGAAATTGTCTGAGATGAGTGTGAGGAAACATCATCATCCGTAAAAGAGGCAACTTCGGCTTCCTCAGCATAATCTTCATTCATCAAGCCCGAAACAGATTCACCACCGGCTTTGTCCAGTGATGCCCCTCTCGACAAGCTGTCCCCAGATGAGGAGCTAGTACGACCCTTCACAAAAGGCTGAATTTTGATAAACAGAACTGGTTGATCAGTGTTCCTAAAGCTCCTCTTACTGTTCATTGGAGCGCTCACGCTTATTGTCTCTTTCACAACGCCATGATCAGCCAAATCTACAATGGCAGTCGCCAACAACTGACCTTTCGTCCTGTCCCTCCGAGGCTCATACAAGTGGAACTCTAAGCAATTCTTTTGAAATGCATCACCATCACCTTTAACAGACATGTCCCTTAGCAGAGTCACAGGTAACCTGAAAGAGTGGTTGAATTCAATTTTCCCCTCACCAACAACAGACCCAAGTGAGGGGACAACAGGGTTGGTAGACCCAGAATTGCGGTCGCCATTTTCCCATTGAATCAACACGGAACGGAGTGATCTGAGTGACTGTGATGGGGGCCAAGGCTTAATCTCATGAATATGGATGAGATAATCAATTTGAACCGTGGGGCCCCTGCGGTACTTCGCCTTTACTCCTAGACCCATGGTTATGGAAACAAACAACACCCTTCTTCTCCAATGTGTTGATGAATTCTATTCACATTCACAAAGCTTATACTCCCCGCACTTGGGATACCCAAAAAAAAACCAGAAAAGCATGTCACTCAGCGATACAATTAGGAATTCCAGGATTATAAAATACAACACTCGTCACTAAATTGGTAATATCTGACTGACCGAAATCAAACTCATTCAAGATCAAACACCGACAGTCGAAAAGATAAAGCAAATAAATTTAAAAGCAAATGTGACTGGAGTTTCAGCTCACAGCAAAGTCGAGCATATGCTAATAATAAATAAGAAGAAATTAGCAAAAGAGAGCTTAAAAATCACAAACTGAGCTCACCAAGACAATCGCCATTAATAGTATGTATGCTTATGCTTAAGCAAGGGAATGCAGAGTTATCAGCTCTACTAGAATAATACTTGGAATTTGCTTCAAAAGCGTCCGATGCACATATTTCAAGCTCAAAGCAAACAGATTTACCACAATGCATGCAATCAAATTAAACACAAATTGCAGATTAACAGAAAAACAAAAACAAAAAACACAAAAAGTAGCTGAGTGATAAGAAAAATAAAGATAATTTACCAGTAAAATTAATGGCCCAAAAAGGAGAGAAATGCGAGTGAGACGAGAGAAGAATCGTTTTTGTATCGAATGGTGTACACTTTCAGGGACTGAGAGGGTGGAGGCCGTCACTGAATGTGCGATTAAAATAGTAAGAGCATTGAAAAAACAAAAAGTGAAGCTGACACAATAGCGATTTCAGAATTTCCATAAAATAAACTAGTATTCATTTTAATTTTATAAGAGCGATGAGAAATGATTTGTCTCTGGACACGACGAAACGGCGTCGTGCTGGGGGAATTTGGTTCGGTGTTTTTATGATCGATGTCGTCTTGACGTTGGCTGATGGGGACGCCTCGACTGAAATGCTTTCATCCCATTCGGAGAGAGTGTGTGGCAGTCGCCGAGTGGGAAGCGAGTGACTCAGTCGGTGACAGTTGGACTCGGGTGCACTGAGCCAACCGACTCAAGTGAGCAGTCCGAGCGTGAAAAGCACGATAGCACGTGGGGTTGATGATGCTCGTCGCTTTGTTGCTTAGTTGGCCGTGCTCACCGACACATAGCTGTTGTTTTCAGGCACTTGTGAGTCAAACTGTCAAACACCACCTCCCGGAGATAGTGGAGCCCACTCCACCATCATCAACAACATAGCCGTTACATTTTGAGTTTGGGCCACAGCCCACAGCCCACCACCAACCTTTTAGAAATTGGAATTAGAAAGCCCGAGTCATTCTATAATGAGGGCGTTATATATAGACCCAAATGAGAGGTGGTATCTTTTAATTGTTAGATCATACTAACTAATTCTAATCAATTTAATCCAATGATTAAGAAATAGGATCTCACTTACGGACCATACATAAGACCATCATTATAGAATTCTTGTGGAAAGCCCACATTTATTTACTTTTTTTTTTATAAAAAGAAAAGGCCCATTAATTATAACACTAAAATTTAGCAATGAACACAAATTAGTGATTGTTTATTTGGACCACGTCTTTAGTTAAGACAATGTGCTCGCTCATTTACTTCATAGTTTGATTTATCTACTCATACTTTAGAGTAGTTTAGGATATCGTTTTGTCAAAGGAAAATATTGAATGTCAATTTTGACGCAATAATTTAAGAATCTAACAAGGAGTGATGGTTGAGGATGATAGAAGTGGAGCTAGACTTGGACCCTTCACCCGTCTGTCTGTCACCAAACAGCGTACTTGCTGGTATATGAGCTTAAACTCTAAGCATATGTATATTAGTGAAAGAGGAGGTAGGTTGAGCTGTCCACTTCTATCAAAGCAAACAACGGAGGGTTCAAGGTTATGATATTGGAGAGTGGTGTGTTGGTCTTTGGTGATAAGAACGAATATTATAATTCTGGTTGGGGAACACGACCAAACTTTGGTTAGATTCTCTTGTTTATTTAACCTAATTTTTATGCAAAACGTAACGAGAGAAAAAGGAAACGAACGCAAAATGTCGACTTGAGCGCAGAAATCAACATTATCAACAATTTGAGCTGCAAAACTCTTGCTCTTATTTAATATTTTAGGGTAGGTTTAGGAGGACTTTGGAGGAGTAAGAGATGAAATGAAACCCTTCCCTTGTTTACTAAGATTTCAATCTGACTTGACTCTTATCTAACAACCCAGTATAGTACCCCGCCACTCTATCTAACCAACCCCGATTG